AATTATCAGGGTCAGGAAGATGTGTTATAAAATAGCTGTCACTCCTGGTTCTATTATTTAGGGCAAAAATGCCTTCTCTGATTTCCCAGTTAAAAACGTTACAAACACGCACGTATGGGTTCTCAATCAAACCATGTATACTAAGCCTAACCTAAGAGAGAGAGATGTCTGCTTATGCTGCCTTTCTGAATACAGCCCACGAGGACTTGTCCTATGGTTATTTATCCCGGTTCCACCAGGTTTTTAGTTATAGTTATTTGCCATCACAGAGGAGATCTCTTCCTACTGAAATCTTCACACTGCTCTCTCTCATGGAAGAGGACGGTAGGATTGCCAATCTCTCTTTGGAAAAAGCTGAAGATGACACTCTCACCTCTCATGGACATCCCACTGCAGAAAATCTGCTGAGCATGTCTTACCTCTAAGCCAAGAACCTCATCTCTGAACAACCCAAATGTCCCTGAATGTGAGTGTAAATGGAAAGGCAGGCTGAGGGAAAGCTCAGAAACAGCTCACTGACATTATGAACACACATTCCTAGGTTCTAGCCCCTGGCAGACTCTGAACATGTTTCTCCTAATTAATTAAAGTTAGTTTTGTCCAGAATTTTTCTCCTCTGCCATGGAGCCAACATGGCCTACTGCAGAGGACAGTGGCCAACAACTGAAACATAGCTGTAGATCTCTGACCTCACCAACACATGCACTGGAAGGGGGCACAGTGTACTTTACTGACCTCTGTCAAGTGGCACAGAACCTGAAGGCAAATTGGGGTGAATAAAACCCAGGGAAGAGGGTCTGAAGGCCAATGGGGCAGGTATTGGGGAGGGTTTGCTAGCAGAACAGTGCACCTAAACTGGCCTTCACCCTGCATTTTCATCCACCTACACTTGGTGATAAGAGAGGTGGATCTAGTTCACACAAAATAAAATGGCAACAACTAGCTCCAACCCTAAGCACACTCCAAGACTAAGAAGAAGGAAAGCTTGACTAAAACTATCCCAGACTCCCACCTACATTTGGTAGTGACATAATTGTCAGCTCTCTCCTCACTGTGACCTGATTTCACCATAAACTTGAGCAGAAAGATCCTCAGTGGCCCAAGAGTACCACGCTGTCTGGGAAGCAGAGCTCATCATGGCTACATGGGATCCACTGTGGAAGAAATTATGCAAACTCCATGAGCATGCAAGCTTCCTCCCTGCAACACTCAGGGGTTTCAGTAACATTTCTAGTTTGAGCATGTGGTTGGGACAACAGAGGTCCTGCATTTTAGCCAATGCAGACAGACCACCAATGCTCCTCACAGCTCTCCTCCTTGTTCTGATTTACAGCTACCCAGGCTGGAGACTTGCCATAGATTCCACAAAACATATGTGCCTGCATATCTCGGGAAAAAAGTGTGAGATGACCAGGCCCCTACAAAGATTCTGTCCTGACAAGGAGTGATGACTTGGCCGTGACATACACCAAAGCCTGGAAGCTGTCAAACATCCCCGGGGTCCTTCACTTTACACAGAATTCTGTTGACCAACCTATGTGCAAAAGGGTATCAGATCTACTTTGCACTTTCACCCTCCAGACCTCTCATATCCAGCGGCAAACGAGCTCTTCACAACCCACAGGCTGCACTGGCAGACCTACAAACATTTCAGGTTATGTCACGGGTCATGACAGCTCTCCTGTGCGTGCAGAGCTCATCTGTACAAGTATAACATGTCCAATGCATCCCGGCTACTCCCAGCACACTGCACACACAGTGTAGTTGGCAAGTGCAGGGGCAGCAAATGCAATACAGCCAGAACACCGTAGGCAGGCTGCAAAACAGCCATTGCCAGACCCACGGCTGTTTCAAAGCTGCAGCTTACTGCTCAATGCATTAGGGCTGTCAGATCTGCCTCAAAGACCCAACAAAATACTCGGTACTATTTATTACCCTCTTAAAATAAATAGTTTTCATGACTGCAGTCATTTAGGAAAGCCCTGCTGCTGGGGGAGTGGGGAAACTTGCTCTGGACACTGTTTTTGGATCCTGAGGTAATGGAGACACTGTAAATAGTAGACTGATAGGAATCTGCCACCAGATTAATCAGGATCTTTGCAAGCTGTAACTTAAAACACTACCATGCTTAACCACTAGAATTTAAAGGGACGACACATATATATATATATATATATATGTTATTTTCAGCCACATTTTGCATTCATTCAATTAGTGTCAACTAGCTGATGAGTTGGTTCACCAGTATAACAAATAGTGCTCTTTGTTACTCTTCAGGTAATACTGCACAGCTAATCACTGCTCACTTGATGAATCTGGTATCTATTCAGAGTACTTATCTACCTTAGAAAAAAACCTGTTCAAGCCTCCCTAATTTGAAAAGGATAGGGCAATATAGTGTTAGAATTTAATATAAAATCAATTTCTCCAAAAATGTGAGATTTTATGTACATTATTATAGTATGTTCTTCCCAAACTAAATCTTTACTGTCACCATAATGTAAGCAAAGGCTTACATGTGTTTTAGTTTACATTTCTCATCCACACATATTAATTCTAGCTTCCACTTCTGTGACCTGAGTTGCCTTGGTCAAGAAGGGGAGGGAAAAAACAGTTAATTGCAATTAACCTGAAACCTTCTGTGCTTCTGTAGAATAAAAGTCCTCCTGTACAAACAGTACGGTTTCTGTCATGACTGCAATAAACTAGGCCACTGGGTTCAATCCTCAAGTTTCCTTGACCTATTAAATTTACAGTAGTCTCAATGTGTGTTCTTCAGCCTGCTAATTCACTGTTGCAAAAAAAAAGAAACATATATTAATAGTTCTTCTGCTTCACAGCCTTTATGAGAAATTAGTGAGCAGAAAATGTAGCATTATAATTAGAATGGAACCAAGCAAATAAAGTTCAGATTCACATCTATGTGTTTTACAGCAGTGCTACTGATTCAAGCCCGGCTCTAATTACAGCAAAAGCTCTTCCCTCTCTGGAGGGGACTTTCTCACTGCAGCTCACCAGGACGTGGTTCAGCCCCTTCGCTGTTCCAGCTGGCTAACCTGCTGCAGGGGTTGTAGACAGATGTTTCAAGAATCATTTGTCCCCAGGACGAGTACACAGACTTACCAGAAGCGGGACAAGCATCTTTCATTCCCCTCTACTCCTCTGCCAGTGAATTGTTGCTCACATAGAAATGAGGCACTCTGTGTATGTACCTTATTTGATAACGCTGTGCGTTCCTGCGCGTCCTCCGCCTAAACTATGGTACAGCACGTAACCACAAGGTCTCACTGAGTATCTTTCAGAACTCGGTTATGAAGGAAGTGGGAATCAATAGTTTAACAGACTCAAGTGGATACGAGTGAAAAATGGGAGATTGGGCAATTATTCCCTATAGGCTGAACTATAAATGGCCACAGAAGCATATAACGAACAAACAAGCTGGGCTGTAAGGGAGACTCCAAGGTCATTTGGTCCAACTCCGTGCTCAAAGGAGGGCTGGCTTTGCTAAGTCAGACCCAGGCAATCCTGCCGTGAGTCGTTTGCCACAGGAAACAACAGGAAACTCAATACCCGGGCATGTCACGCTGTGACACAGAGCAAAGTACTCTCTGCAGCTCAAAGCCGAGCAAAGTGTGAAAAGCACGGGATAGATTTACTCCAAGGGGATGTGCTGGGAGGGGGCATGCTTCACATCTCATGACAGCTGAGATGCTACAGGGCCTTTCCCTCTCACCCCCTGGGTGTTACTGACGTAGGCAGCTCCCTTAGCTGGTACAAAATATGTTTAGTCAAAACACATACAGGACATTTTAATTTTCTGTTGCACCGTTGGAGGGAAAAAATACTTGATGCATCCCCCACTGTTTTGCACCCACGCAGGGACCACTCTTACAAATGAAAAGGAACAGGTCATTAGTGCCATGGGAAGCACCGGGCTGCCGGTGGCAGGCACTGGCATGTGGTGGGTCCGCTGAGCCACCAGCAGACCCAATGTGCCCTTTCCGCAGCATCCTGGATGCTGCAGTCCAAATTAGTATTTTCATGCATACTGCTACAATTTTTTCCATGTACAGTTCAGCCACACGTCTTTGGTTTAGAAGCCCTTTAAGTATTTGATCATAGGATGTCAAGGGCATTTGACTTAAGAAGTGGAGGAAACTAGAAACCACACAAACACTATGAATAGAAGCTAGGGCAAGAGATGGCACGTTTATGAACTCGGTCAAAGTGGATGCATATGTTGCTTTATTTAGGCCCATATCAGAGAAAGAAACCCATGCAATCTTAAGCTCTTTACTTATATTAAAGTACTAACCTCTCCCGTTTCATGGCATATTTCTATTTTTATGCTACTGAACTCATCAGCTGTAAGTTTCCATGTAAACTGCTCCCCAGCTCCGGAAAACCTTATACTGGCACGGCTATGATATCAAACCTATCTTCACTTTCCTAAAAGATAATCATCAGATGAGGTATTATCAAGTATTACTGATACTCTGAAGTAACAACTGAGCTTTCATAAAAAGCTATATTCCTAATACCTGAATGACTCATATTTGCCCCTAGAACAATAAAAAGTCACTAAAGAAGGTTGGCTTTTAAAAATATATTTGGAACCAGAGCAAACCGTTTATCAAGTGTCATAAAGGCTCTTTCTAAAGTTGAGGTTGTTACAGTATAAACAGCATCAAGCAGGAGGCTGTTCTCTGTCTCTACTGAAGCCCAGGAGTGAAAAACCAGGAGTAAAAATATTTTTATCTGTTGGAATTGGGAAGAACAATATTATTTTATACATAATATAAACATTATAACACACAGGCACATGTATCGAGATACTAAACTAGATACTGCAAATACCTATCCACAGGACTAGATACTGCAAATTTTACATTCACCCAATCCTAACTGTGCTCTTAATGCAACAGGAGTTTGCCTTAATGATATATACATTGTCTTCATTGAATGGTACTTACTGGCTGCTCACGTGACTAAGCGAAGACGTAGTTTCACAAATTACTGGCATCGGAAGTGAAGCCACTTCATGAAGTTCCCGGCTACCACTCCCACTCCCTCCCCATCACCACTGCCCCCACATCACTCTGGGCCACTGCTTAGCCATGCCCTTATGACTAGTTTTAGGGTCACATGAGGACACAGGCCACCAAACTGATCTGGGTTAAAAATAAACCCACCAAAAATACAAGGGATTATTTTTAACTTGGTACATTTCAAAGATATGGTTTATGGTGTGACGCCACGAACAGCTTTAGTGACACAGCTGGTGTGGTGGCAAGCCGAAAGAAAGGGATGGAAAGAAGCAGGAGGGGAGAGGCCGGAAATCCTCAAGCCACCATCGCTGCCATGCACAGTGGAACGGTGCCATATGGCAAAGTTTGCAAAATCTGGTCCACTCTGCAATTTCCTCCGGCATTCTTACTGGGTGCTATTATTACTGAAGGTTGGGGTACTTACGCCATGATGCCCGAGAGATGAAACATTTCAGCTGTTATGTATGACAAGTAACTGTACAGGAAGACAAAGAGTGGCTCAATCACTCGGATTTTATGGGTGAAACGGGTGGTAAAGGCTGCTACAAATCCCAAAAGGATTCCAATCAATACTCCACCGATCCCCACTATAAAGAAGTTAGCAATCCCAGCGAATATGTCAATAACCTTAATTGTGCGCATCTGGCAGAAAGACTTGAACAAATTGTACAGGACCTATGAGGAAAAAAAAAGCACATTATGTTTCTGAACTGTTCTTAACTTCCCTTCATGTCATTTATATTTCTCTGCTTCAACACTGAACTTTGAATTTCTCTATCTACCTTGAACTCACTTTTGAGACATGCTGTTGTTTGTCTCTGGCATATTACCTGTCATCCATAAATATCAGGGAGATATACACAGAAGGGTAAATATAATTATTCACATTTTTGCAAATGGGACTGGTTTCTTACCCCATGCCACTGAGTCTGTGCCAGGAGCACAGACCTATCTAGTCTTTCTTTAAATTAATTTCTTTGCAAAGCTTCTAATTTTTTCACAAATGGCCATTTCAGATTTTCCCCAGAATCAAAGAAATAAGGAGGAGAAAAAAACCACAGTTCTATAATCAATGAAAAAACAAGTTATTTTCAAATGTGTTTGATTTACATAAGACACCAAGAGCTGCAGTACTGAATTAGACCACAAATCCTTCTGGCGTGGGGTGGAGGGGGAGAGGAGACGGACAGTGACCACCCCAAGGACTACAAGAAACCGGGCATCCATGGAGTGCTCTTTCTCTGACAGATTAACCCTTAAGAACCCAATGGTTTAAAGCCACCTCAAACTTTATCTAATTTCTAGAGATTTGGATTTAATCCCCATTAAATACATGGTAAATACATTACATACATTAAATAAATTACATACATGGTACCTGTTACCATGTACTTGCTTTGTTTAATTTTCGAAGAGTTTGTAACCATTGTCCAAAATAAACTGGTCAATAGGATTATCATATTTTCTTAGCCAGAGAGCCTTTTTCTTTTACACAGGAAACAGAACAATGTAAACATCACATTTCTGTAATATCCAGCGTTTTTGTTACTACAAAACAGACAACAAGGAAATCAGCTGCTCTTAAAGAAACCTTAAAGGGTCTTCCCATTTGCAGACTTACTTGGGAGATTTAAGCCTTGTCTGGCGCTGCACGTATGCCTCCATCCACGCGATACCATGATGGCTACATCCCCTTGTACAGACCTACGCTCAGTCGTAGGCACCTACTCCTACCATGTAAAGAATCTAAGCCAGAAATGAAAAGTGGGTTCACAGGCTAAGCCCCCTTGGTCATGGCAAACACCTGACTAGTCATCTTGGACAGTCTGCAGGAACTGAACCTCCACTTTATTTCTAGAGTTCTCAGTAAACCAAACAGGTTTCTCTATCAGAAATGGTATTTGAGAGAACGTTTTATCAGTACTTGCACTGTGCCAACAATGTAGGTGTTTGAACAGTGACTGGGAGTGATTTGTCATGTTCACAGTTTTGTTCTCTCGTACATGACAGAAAGTTGTACAGCTCTTCTTGGCCAAAATTTGGTAAGTCTTACAGAAGTAAAAGTTCTCACTATAGACTAATGCAAAGGCACAGCCTATTATGAGTCCTTTGGGCTAACTGAAAGGAAATAACTGAAAAAGAAAAAATATATCCCAGAGCAAGCATGAAAAAAAGAAGGTTAAATCAAACCCAGCCTGGCCACCAGTGATTTCCAATCTTCATTACAAACCAACAAGCAGGGCAAGAGCTGGAACATGAACTATTTATTTGATAGGAATGATGCCCTCAGGATATGTCCACCTGGGGCAAGCGTCCTTTTCCACTTGGGCAAACCCCTTCATCTTGCTGCTCTGAGGCAGATTCCCAGCTTTTTTGCCCTGTTCCTTGTTACTATGTCCTGTGCAGGACAGGAAAGTAATGTAATAGGTTCCATTGGTTTTCAACCTGTTTTGATTTGCAACCTCATGGATTTGCATGAAGAGCAGTATACCAACAGTAAGCTTACTGACAGTAGGTGTGCCTTTGTTGGTCACTTTACAAGGACTCCTCAGTTCAGACTCCCAACAGTCTCCATGAATCACAGGATGAAGGAAAAGCACTGTTGATTTGTGCTGTTTGCAATGAGAGAGGTCACTCTCATTGCAAGTCACTTCTTCAAATTTGGGACTACCCCAGAGTTGTGTTATTCTTCAAGACATCTATAGAATTTGACCTGGCAGAATATTCCCTTGATATGTGTTAGGAAAGATGATTATTTTCTTTAATTGGAGTTTTAAATAGCCTTTTTTGTATTTTAAACAGTAACTATACACATACCTATATAAGGCAAGTCTCTAAATAAGGCCACTGAGAACTGCTTGTAAAGAACCATTTAATTCTGATCTACTCAAGCAATAGCCTTTCCCTAACATCACCTCATCCTCATGGGCAAGTATTCACTCTGTAAACAGAATGGAGCCTGTTTTTTCCACATACAGACACCCTCATAAATCTCAATCTGTTGCTGTAAATTATCTGAAAGACGAAAAGCAACGCTCTCCTTTGTATCTCGGATCAAAACCAGACCGCCGCGGTAGAAGCAGCAGCTAGGACTATGGAATGTCATGAACACGAATTTAATCTCGTTCCTATTGTTCTTTATTTACATTGCTGTAAGTGAGGTCAAAATCAGGTTCACTTCACTTATACTCTACAGCAGTTCAGTTTTACAGCTCTTTCTCAGGTTTCAGGTGAGTTAACATCAACTCTGGTCATATTCTGTAGTGTGTTTGGTATGGGAACGGGTTTTTTTCAAGTTCAAGATTTCCTTTTACTCAGTAACCTTCAGCTGAACTCGCTGAATGCTACATCAAGGAATATTAGTCAGCAATCACATTTTAGTCTTATTTCAGAGTATCTCTGCTCTTCCTAGACACTAATGGCTTATTCGCATCAGCTCTCACTTATTAGTTTTTAATCCTGAAATTATTTTAAAGCACTCTAAAATAATGTTTTCAGTAGAGGCGGAACACAGAGCACTGCTGTAATGTTTTCTAACATGGGAATAATATTATGAGAATGGCACTGTCTCCTTCTTTGTGATTTTAATCTCCAAATTGGAATTTGAACTCAACTTCAACTGTGATCTTGTCATTTAATATCACTGTGCTAGTTACCACTGACCCAGTCCTTTTGGTAAAGAACCAACAAGAAGCCAGCTGACAAACATTGTTCTCAGCCACTGCCAAGCTCCAAAATTCCATCAGTGGAAGAAAAGGACCATCCAAATGCACAGGCATATCGCAACAACTATCAAGCATGAAAGACCACCTGAGAAACATGACAGAGCTGAGATTCCTGAGAAAGCACACCTTGCTTTGTATCTAAAACAAAGGTGTGGTAGCACACTTTCTGAAAAGGGAAAGCATAATGGCACTGCTATCCTAACAAAAGCTTTTATTAGGAGCAGCCAGGCAGTGCAAGTGGGATAGCAGGAAGAAGGGCTTAAAGTATTTAGATAGCCTGTTAACTAGAGCCACATGGTTCTGTATTGCCCACCTGTATTTTTTGATACTACAGTGGCCATAGGAATTAGGCAGCTTCTGCAGATGGCCAGCCTGCCTCCGGCTCCTCTCCTGCTTTGTTCCTGTATCCTACCGTAGGTACCTTCCAGGGTTGGTGAGACTCCAGGGCTTCAGCAGTTGAAAGCTGGCAGGGACTGAGCTCTGCCTACTAGCTGGTTTTATCTTCCTGCTAGCTGGTTTTATCAGCTCTCCGGGTGACACCAGGACAGAGGAAGAGATCGTATTTACAAAACACCTGGTTTTATCTTCCTGCTAGCTGGTTTTATCAGCTCTCCCGGTGACACCAGAAGGACAGAGGAAGAGATCGTATTTACAAAACACAGTCTCCTTCGAGCAGATAGCAGTGTAACCCACCGCTGTGGGCAGGGGAGGTGAGGTCCTCTAAGGACACCCCACGGGGGATCTGTGGTACGGCCTGGGTCACGTTTTGAGTACAGTCACATGATTTCAGGTGTGCAAAATCATAACAAGGATCCATTAGCAGACCAATCCTTAGCATGTGGAAACCACTTCATCTCCTGCCAAGTGCTACCTTTAAGTGATAGCTGGGAAGTAAGATGGAAGGTACTCTAAATTCCTTTCGCTCCCTCATGAATATATGTATGGCCAGTGCATATCCTGGACTCCTCAGAATACCTCTCTCTTCATTAGGGCACCTGGACAGGCATGCTGTGAGGAAGGACTCCCTCCAAAGAAGGCAAAAATGATGCCTACAGGAAATCCATGCATCACAGTTATTAAGTTGCCATGCCAGCACCTGTAAAAATGATAGGTTGGAGTAATTTGCCACTGCACAATGGCACGCACGAATACTTCCATCATCAGGATGCAGTGTTTTCTTACCAAATCTTGCTGGATTAACTGTTGTTCCAGTGGAAAGGTGATTTTGCAATTGGAGAAAGTGATTTTGGTTAGAAAAACACACCCCCCAAAAAAAAAAAAGGGGTTTAGTTTACATTAATATGAGACCTTTTTACCTCAGGAAAACTTACATGAAAGTGTCAGCGGTTTCAGCTGTAAGCTAATGAGAAAAGCTAGGCTTTAAGAAAAGCAAGCCCATATGAGAGCATGAAATTCAGCTGGCTGGATAGCGACAGAATCAGGCAAAGCATGAAGTGTAGGTGAAAAAAAAAAAATGAACAGTACTCCGTAGACACAGAAGAAATTATTGGTACCAAGGCCCAAATTAAATGGTGAGATATACATATGTTGAGCGGGTAAGGCAAAGTCCCAGAAAAGAGGAAAACTGAAGGACAATTCTGCATAAAATAGGACAGGAATAAGAAGCCAGTGACAGAGACAGGGAAGGTGCAGACCTAACTCATGAATCTTTCTGATCCTTCTGACATGAAAAACTGAACCTCCATGTCTCAGAAAATAGAGAGCATGCTAGGACATTGCTGGCACCGGCAGGATTTCAATTAAGGCATGGATAAATGGGAGTAGTGTCCAGACGTGGTGTCATCGGGTACAAACAAGGGGCATTGGGGGTGTTAACGGAATTTGCAGATTGCTGTCCCCAGGTGTGCATCACAAAACCAGTTCAGCTAGTTAATGATTAGAAATTACTGCCTCCAGATGGCTGTCCTATCTCATCTGTAGCCTGGGAGAAGTACATCGGTGGTCCTGGTGCCGCTGCAGCTGGACGGGCACATGCAAAAGGCCAGCATCCACTGGGTCCTGTGCCTTCTCAATGATTTGCCCATTCTCCCTGTGAATGTGCTGGGACACCCCGCACCAGTGCTTTTCCCTCTCCTGTCCTACAACATTTCTGAAGATGAGGAAAACCTCCAGTTCCAGATTACAGAAGTAACAGAATTCAAAGATACAGAAACTAAAGACACCAGGTAGCAAAATCTCGAGCTAATACACTACCATTACACATTATGCTGGTGTGGTAAGACTACTGTAGTTTCTAAATCTAACATTTAGAGAATTACATCAACACATTATCACTCCTTGACTTCCATCTATTAGCAGACTGTAATAACCAGATACCAAGAGATATAATGGAGTGGCACGCCAAAATTTATCGTTTTTATCAACGAATCATTTATCAAGTAACTTACCACAGTTATAGCATCATTCAGCAAAGACTCTCCAAACACCAGGATGTAAAGCTGCTCATTGACATGAATGTTTTCAAAAACAGCCAATACCGCCACAGGATCCACAGCTGAGATGAGGCTGCCAAAGAGCAAATTCTGCAGCAATGTGATATCAGTCAAACCAAACGCACTGATCTGGCAAATTCCGTAAAGTGAAATTCCAATGCCGATGGCGTTCCAGAGCGTGCCCACCACGGCATACCAGAATATGGTACCAAAGTTCTCAAAGAAAAGACGAGTTGGCATAAAATATCCAGCATCGAGTACAATGGGTGGTAAGAGATACAAGAAAAAAACATCACTGTTCATTACAGGTGGGGACTTCTCCTCTGCTCCAAAAATAATCCCTCCAAGAAGCAATCCAACCAGAATGAGGAGACAGCTTTCAGGTACTATTGAGGGCAACTTGTGATAGAGATGAAAGCCTTCAAAGGAAATTCAAACACAAGAAAGTAAAATGGTTATTTGTACAGAACCCAAAAGATTATTCTGGATTCTGTTATCTTAGTTTCTATAGTAATCAAACAGCAATCGCAGGGCAATTTCATTTTCCTTGCAAAGACTGAACTGGACCACCCCAACAGGTCAAGGCAAATTTGTCAGCTAGGGTAGTTAATGCAATCAAGTTGGTGGAGAGTCAATTTAATAGCTAAACATTCCAGTTAATAGCTAGGAGCAACTGTGTGCAAGGTTTCTGTTTGTGAAAGCATGGGGATTTTCATAATGTGGAATCCTCCAGAAACACAACCCAAACACTTTTCTAGGGCAAATTACATCTAGAGAGAGAAGAAAACAAACTTATCAACCACCCCTTCCTCCATGCGCAGCTTCACAAGTGAGTTTAAGGAGTACATTCATTTCATTTTTAGAAGTTTTTTAGTCTCAAAGCGAGGGAGGGGAACTAGCACATGTGACCTGCACCCAGTCACCCATGGTCACTTCCTCAGCTACCATGAGCTAGCATTTACAGACACATTATTATTCAATTTTAGTAGAACCTCCAAATTCATTTCACAATAACCATCATGTTTTCCATAAAGTGCCAATAAATTGCAGCTTGTGTTATTATGCTCATTCTTCTATATTATAGGAACTGCAGTAGTGTCAGGAGCCTCTCATCAAGAGCTGTGCAGAGTACTGAAAAAAATGAATAAAAAGTTTCTGAATGAGGACTTAATGGTTGAAGGTTCCTTAGCCCACTAAAAGTCTCCAAGCCATGCAGGTTTGACTTAAAGATTCCCATTATTTGCATAAATTGACTGTTCTAAGGATAATCTTGGTAATGAATGGGAAAAGTTTTGAAGGAACTTACTCTGGCCAATCTAATGGAACAATCAACCTTATGAACCAAGGTCACATTCCAGGTCCTGGTGATGCCAATCTTTTCCAGGCTCCTCCTTATCTATATTTGGTCCACATAATTACATAGAAAACTATCCACACCCACAAGATCCCACAATTCCTGCCTAACTAAAAAGCATTTAAATTATTTTAAATGAGAGCTGCACAGAAACACTGGGTGTGGTAATAACGGGCGTCTATTTCAGTAAAACTATTTCAGTAAAAATCACACCTGTAGTCGAAACAGTTAAACTAGTGCAAGCAGTTCACATCCTGTTTCCCAATTTCAGGTTTCTGTATCTAATAATACCTACTTGGTTAATTCTCCTTTCATTATAGATTTTTTTTCCTGGTCAAAGAAAGCCTGAACTTATAATTAGAAAAAACAAATGGTAAAGAAAGACCAAGGGAAAAGAAATACATATTAAAGCTATTTTTTAAAGTAAGCAGCTCAAGCTACATGGTTGGGTATTTTTTTCCTTTCTGGATTAACACAGACTGCTTTTTAATATTTAGAAACACAGTCTATGTGACTTGTTAGAAGGACCACCAAATTCACTGTCATTCCTCAAAACCAGAATCACCAATATCCAACATTGGCAGAACAGGTAATGAACCTGGAAATACAAGAATTTGCGGCTGGAGACTTGACTCTTCACCTTTCAGCCACTTCCACAGGAACATTTTATGGTTTGTCTTAGTTTCTGCAGTGGCAGGATGCCAAAATTTCCCATGCCGTGACTGAAGTTTCCCCTAAGTAGATCTTGCTAATGGAAAAGTTTTTTTAAGCCCTTCAAAAGTATCTTAAATCATTACCTCAATAAAATGGAAGAGGAGGGAATTTTTGTAAATGCAGCTTTTAATGCAAACAAAAAATACCCCAACCAGTTGTAATACAATGGCAATGAAATGCCTACTGTAAATATAAAAATCTTTTTCTTCTTTACAAGTCACTCTTTGCAAATATAAAAATCTTTTTCTTTTCTTCTTTACAAGTCACTCTTTGGAACATTCATACCTTCTCAGAGGTTTTAGGACTCCACCTCATCCTTAAAGGTAATGGAAAGGCTGCTGCTAAGGTAAAATGTGCTTTTTATCCATGTAAACAACATCAAAACTCCTAGAAGGCTGCCTGTCTCCATGAAAGGCATGCAAAGCTGATCAGGAGGGGCTGTGGTTCCCCATTTAAAGGCAGAGAGCTAGGATTTAGGATCCAGTGCATATCAATTCAGGTGCAGGCACTCTGCAGGATGAGGGAGCCCTTCCCTGCTCTGACGGATCCACAGCCACATGGTAAGGAGTGCCCTGGGAGCAGATCCCCTGCCGTACATGAATACTCAGACTTTTATGCTGAACCCAGGACCACAGTCACTTTCTCCTCCTCCGACCCTTTTCTTGGGATCCTGACTATGCAGTGACCCAATTCCAACAGCATGGGAGATGTTTCCCTTCAGGCCATTGGGCAGGACACTTGCCCAAAATGCAAGTTCAGTATTCTCCAAGCTGAAAGTCCTTAGAGTCCTGTTTCCTGCTTCTTGGGTGAAAGCCAGTGCACTCTGATGCTGGAAATGCCACTAAGATGTGTACTTCTGATTATACCTGAGTTTTCCAAGGGCTCTCTGAACAGTTCAACCTTTTTTTAGAAGTCTTGGAAGGACATCACCTCACTTCCCATAAGAAGCACTTCTAATCGTGCATTTGTGACTAAACATAAAGGTATTGGGAATCTGAATCAGTTAGACAAAATTTTGTAGGTTTAGCAGCATAAGGATTAAGCAAAACTGCGAGCTAAGTAGACTAGTCTCACTGCCTAGAGACAGCAGCATACAGTGCACCAGGTCCTACCTAGTACAGAGCCCATCAGTATGTTAGTAACACACCTTCTATACAGCATCACCACATAAGGTAATAAAAAAGTAGCAATAGCCAGAAAATAACAATTCTGTTTAAGGCAATTTCTTAGATTTCAAAATGTGCCCTTGCACTGTGCTGGAATAAAAAGCATCACATTACTAATGTCTTTGTCAAAATGTACCTTGGTTCAAGTTCTAGTGGAAGGTGTCCCTGCCCATGGCAGGGGGGTTGGAACTAGATGGTCTTTAAGGTCCCTTCCAACCCAAACCAGTCTGTGATTCTATGATTCTGCTTGGCAACCTCAGGTTTTCCTTTCTCACTGCTGTCTCTTTTGCTCTCTCTACACCTAGCCTACGATGACATGATCACAGCCAGGATCTGAGAAACCTTTCAGATAAATCCCCTATAAAAATCAGCAAGCGCTAGAACGTTTCAGCTCCAGTGAAAATGCACTCCTGCAAAAACACACTTGTTCAAAAATGCTCCGGTTGGGTGATAAGCAGGTGCTGCAATAGTTTTCCTTGGGATCCTTCACACACTGTGAGAGCTGTTAGTAAAACACAACCCTATCTTCTGAGCTCCTTGCAGCTCAAAAGACCTTAGGGCTCCCTTCATAAAGGTTTGCCACTCGGCAGCGCCAAGCGTAAGCATTCAGCGCCTAGCCCCAGAAAGGAATTTGCGATGCCAGATTAAGCACCGAAGTTTCCTGGGCAGTGCGTTGAGTCTAGAGGTGGATTTCAAGCTGCTTGGCATGACAGGAGCGAGATGCCTACGCTGCTGAGGAGAGGAATGCACTGGAGAGCCTTCTCTCTCACAGGGCCACTCTTCGGGCTACAGGCAGTGAGAAGGGTTGGAAAACCCCTCTCCATCCCATCCCTGGGCTACCTTCAATACAAAAGAATGCAGAAAGGAGTGGAAAATCGACGCTGCGGGAATGTGACTTAGGAACGATGGGAGCCAGTCCTGGGAAGGTTTACCTGATGCACTCTCTGGATAAGGAAGGCCAGAAGGAGCTCCAGGAGCAAGAACTGGATGTTCCTAATTCCAGTCCCGGAGTCAGGGCTCCTGCAGATAGGTGTGGTGAAGCTGAGCACAGCCACACCTAGGGCCCCTCCTGGATCCGTCCCTCATTGCTCAGCACACGCACGCTTCTAGCAGCAGAGGTAATGGCCTAGATTAGCCACGCTAGCTTTCGTTTGGTGTAACTGAAGGGGCTTACAAAGTATATGCATTTTTTCCTCATCTACACTGTTTGCTTTTGTACTGTTCTGCAGTCAGCTTGGAAAATTAGTCGTCACTTTTTTTTTCTTCCACTTTTTAGATGCCTATGCACTAGCAAAATATCACGATAGTGAGAATGTACAGTCCTATGGAAAGTATATATTGTTGTGTACATATGTCTCTTTATATGTTTCAAATGGCTTCCCTGTAATCTTTCATAAAACAGAGACTTTTTCACTAGTCTTAGCGTATTCAAGAGTTCCTGCTTATCTCAACTCAGAAGCCTGAGCAATTTTACAATACTCAACTGGCTGAGATCAGTTCTTTAACAAACTCTGTATTTTCTGGCTATTACAGTTTACTATATACTTGTGTATCATGTTTGAACCTCGTCCGGATTCTGCAAACACCTAAATACACACTCAAGACTAAGCACACATCTTTAATGTATTAAGATACATACGTCCTTAACGGATGTGGCATACAATACTTCCGCAGAAAGCAATGAAGCCACAGCCAGTTGCTTACGCAGAGGATCAGGCCCCCAACTACAACACCAGGTGAGTACCAATGTTGGGGTTTGCAGAATCCTAATTACCTGACCCCTAACCAGAATGGGATACAGTCTATTTAAAGGTCCCAAGCAGAAGTTAAAAGTTTTATCAAAATGAGTATGATCATAGTTTTTACTGAAATCTGAGCTACAAAATCAAGACTTCTGAATCAAACAAGTGGAGCATGAATAAATCTTTTTGTTGTTGTTGCTCCCATGGCGTTCTTCTTTACATCAAGATTATCTTCTAGTTAAGATACAAAGTTTATCATTTGCAGAGATTTAGTGGTTTTTAAATCGCTCTCCGATACACCTTTACTCGCCATTCTTGAGATTATTATACTTACTAATTTTTCTCTTTGGGACACAGAAAGTCAATTTAAAACTTTATTATATATATAGGTACGCTGCGCAGAACACCATGAAACTATGCAATACAAATATTTTCCACATGAGGGAAGAGGTGGCCTTTCTTACTCATTCAGTGCTGTCTTTTTCGTCTTTCTCGGGACCTAAGTGAATGGTAGGAAAGTACAAAGAGGCTCCGGCTTACTCTGCCCTCATAAATATTTGCTTTCCATCGATCGGTTGTTCTGTTCTGAAACTGTCACGATGTGCGGCGTGGTTTTAAGAAGGCAGCGCTCGGACGACAGCAGGGAGATCAGGGACCAGCCAGTCGCGCCCCGGGTGAACGCCGGGGTTTACGGAACCCGCTGCCCGGGGTTTGCGCCTTGCCGCTGCGGGCTGGAGGCGATGGCTCTCCCCGGCCGCTCCGCTCCTAACCGGGACAGCCCCATCTCCCGCCAGCCAGATCGCGCCCGG